AGTTCTTCTGAGTGTGAAATTTTGGATTGATGCGAGGAAGTGAGAACGAACAACGTGAACCCAGCCATGTTTGTGGGAGTTGAATTTGTGGGTTATTATTTAATAATTTCTAGACAAAGGGATGTCACATTCGGACAGCTCAACACATCGGATCAAGATATTGTATTCAAATATGAAAACATTTTACTGATAGTTAATAATTTTATGCAGGGTACATTCTTATATTTTCATTTTCTGCGGGCATAAGTCAAGCTTAATATTTTTAATTAATTGACCAAACCTCTCGGCGTAGTGAGCTTGGAACAAGCATGTGAAACTCACTTTAATTTTGGTTCAGGTCATTTGTAGGGTCAAAATAATGAATAGTATTTACTCCAAAGTAGAGAGATTACAACGCTAAGTCCCCTTGTACAAACGAGAAAAAGAAACGCTACACGATAAAACTGTAATGAAAAACATTTTGACAATTCAGGTTACCGCGTTTTCGCGCGTTGGTTTGTTAGAACATGAACAAAAACACGTACGGTCGCCGTCACGTGGTCACAATTTCGTTTTCCAAACTAATGGGGTCGGTCATACCTTTGAAAGCTTCTACTGGCAATCAAAAAGGCAGTTTCACTACCCTTTGGCTCCAATAATAAGTAGAAACATTGTGTTGATATTAAGATGATGACCAGATTACAGACACTTTCCAGCTCTAGATGCAGTCATTTGCGAGAGACGCCACACTTTAAAAAACTACAAGAAACCTTGCTGGTATAAAAGCGGGGCTATATGGTAAAAGGTTAACGATTTTCAAAGCTGGCTTATCGTTTTATTGTTTACCCTATATTTATACAACGGGAAAAATCATAAACAGCTAACACCTATAGTTTCGGTTGCTTGAGTTCATGTGCTAAAGGAAATGTGACTTTTTAGGTCACCAAACGAAGCATTTTTCCCCGTATACGGTTAGTTGCTCGGAAATAATGAAAACGAACAGAAACGACACGCCACTCAAAATTCCTCAAGCCAGCGACAACATGACATGAGGAAGTCTGCCCCCGCGCTCTTTGGTCGTTCCTTGCAACGCGGTACCACACTATGAATTGATGGTTTGGAAAAAATTATCGGGGGAAAGGGAACCTAGCTGTTTCAAGCTCACCTGTTTCGTGCGTTTTTAGCGTTATTTCACTTTTGTCAACCTCATTACTTTGCTGCAGAGGTCGAAAGACCTCCAGTGTTGGTAAACAAGACATTCGTTGACATGCGCACTATAAACCCTATAAAGCGTTGCCTGCTGGATACGAAGATTAACCAAAGAAAGCGGAATATATTCAAAATATTTTAAACTCATATATAAGTATAAACATTACCGAAATGTAGAGTCTTTTGTCTGGTTTATTATAAAAACATGTAATTACTGAATGCAAGCACCGTACAAATCATTCTTTTTAGTCAGGTTTTTGGCTTCAAATTACTGTCAATCAACAGAATTTTTCGCAGTAGAAAGAAATAGAGAGTCGTGCTATTACTCACGCAGAAGATGATGCGGCTTTTTTACCGGCTCCAAATAATAAAACTACTGTCTAAGTTTACCGGCTCAATAACTTGAAAAGAGAATGATTGATGTTGAGCCCAGCTGTATTGAATCGAAAGGGTCGCAAACACTCAAGTCAACAAAAAACCGTCTTGGCCTATTAACCACTTTGTTGGTGTGTCAACTGTGTCTGGGCAAATCTAGCTAAGTCATGGTCAAGACGCAGTTTTGTCTAAAAACTGATTGGAATTTTTTAATGAAACCTACAAGTGCTACACTTAGTTTAGTTGTTCGTTCGATTAAAGCGAAAAGTATTGAGCAATTTGTGGGTGCTAGTCAATATCAAAATAATTCAACGAAGTGTGACCGATGAAATGTACGAAATAAAAACGCGATGGGAAGAAATTTGCTGTGTTCCTACGTCCTGAACAAAAGTTTACATATGTACAGTGAGCAAAATTGGACAGTCACTGAGTATTTCTGCATAATACGGTTAAACTGATACACATGTCACTTGCTTTTTCCTGTATCAAAACATTTGAATGTAACCTAATTTTAGTTTGTTATTTATAGCAATCCTATTGTATAGGCGATATTCGGCGTACAAAGACAACACGAGGTCGGGGCCAACACTTTCCAACTTCACGTGTAACTAAAGGTTTAGGAACCATATATGATAATTACTTTACTCTCAATAAGCCCGAAGTCAATATCAAGACAAATCCATTCTTTTATGATCAAAAGGTACCGAAACTATGACACATAGTGCCGGGAGAAGACACTACTGAAATGGTTTCATTTGAATTGTCGAAAAATTAATTACATTTTATGTCTTGCGTCTTCCTGATTAATCTAAGAGGAGGGGGGCGGGGGGGCGGTGGAGAGGGGATTCCCATATTTAACATATATAGATATATAGGTGTCAATGTGCCAGTTGCAGTCTTTATCAGAGTCCTTACTAAATAAGTTATTCTTTCCGGTATTGTGGTCTTTTCATACGGTGCCCAAAAGCACAGGACCTAAACCATGGTAAAAACTTTGTAACTGACTTTCTCTTAACGTACCACAAACCTTTTAAGCCCCAATATCCACATACAAATTTTTCAAACTGATCTCTGCACATTTCCCTAAAGAATTAGCTGAAAGAATTTGATCAAACATCAAAGATTTTTTCTCATTGAGATCATTTTATTAATTCTCATAGACTTTGCTCTTGACAATCTATGGAAAACGTGAGGAGAAAATTGATGTTGGTCACTATTGGAACTTAACGGTTAAAGAATTCGAGTGCACTTTGTGAATGAAGTCCTTTTTAATTCTTTTCTCTGCTTTCCCTTATTTTAAGTTACATTAACGGAGGTTCATCATGGATCATGGTGAAGTTTGATCGACGCCGTCCGTCCGTGGGGCCGGGGGTCGACTGCAATGAAACTTTCAAAAATTTAAGGTGGCTCTGAGCAAACTCCTATTAATCATGTGTTTACCTATTGTTTTTTTTGGTCTATAAAAAGCGGTGGAAACAGGGTCCACAAACTCACGGTATCAAACTTTGCCTTTGGATTGAATCTAAAAATTATGTCTTTGCTTTGTAACCTATAATGTCAAAACGTCTTTCTTCTTATTGTCAATGAAGAGGCTTGTAGCATCTACTGGGGTAACTTTAGATAAACAGCATTGATTCATCAAAGTATACTTGCTTGGAAATGTGAGAAGACTTAACGATTTCACTCAGAAAAGTGCCATTCAACCAAAACATTCCAATTTTCAATGTGTAAAATACTAATGCCAAGCTGTCACTTGAATGGTCACAGTTTGAGATTTTGTTCACGGAGTTAAAAGGTAGAACAGCATTATAAATAGTACCAGAGGAAAACTACTACTCATTTCATTTGAATGATCACACCGTAGTCGACTTTAGGATCTCTTACACAGACTCAAAAGTTAGAACCACCTTTACAGCATTAAAAAAATAGCACCAAAGAAAAATACTGCTCAGTAGTTTCATTTCTGTTTTCATTTCCTCCATTACGAGCTTGCTATTAGAGAGGGTCCTCAATAGGTTTTACGGGATTCGGGATTTCCCTTATTTGAAGCTCGGGATTCGGGATTTAAGAGCAAAATCGAGGCGAGATTCGGGATTGAAATTATGTGGGCGAGTTAGAATGCCCGAATGACCCTCGGGATTGCACGAAATTTTAAGTCGGGATTACGGGATTGAAGAACCCTATTGGGGACCCTCATTAGAAGCCGACAAGCTAGGAAAACAAAATAATATACACCATAGTGTGTTTGTGACGTAATTTCACTTGCCTTAATCAAGTGCCTGTTGAGTATTTGACGTCAGGCATGTGTTTGCCTTTAAAAATGCGTCCACAGTTATGTATATATAATGCGAGTTTTCAAACTTTTGATCTGAATCTTTCTAAATAACCATTCAAAGAGCTAAAATCCTGGCAGAAAACTAAATGAATAAAACCAACCTTTAGAAAACTACTATGGATATACAACATAATTCCATGATTTTATGGCAATGTATTATTGTTGTTACTATTGAGATGCTTTCTTGACGTTACTTTCGAGACTATGTTTTCTAAACGTGATTCCTAACACATTTTTCTTACGTGCGCTCTCACACGTTTATAGTAACTTATAAAGCTCGAATTGTCTCAAGGTCTTTGTTTTCAAAACTGTGTAGTTGCTGAAACTACCGCTCGTGTGGCAAGAAGAAAAATTTATCATTCGCGGTAAGTTTTTAGTTACTTTCGACAATTTTGTTACAGTAAATTATGCTTAGTGGTAATCCATTGTTTAGGCGTGTGGCATCACTGTGGATTATATTGCTTTAGCTTGTCAAATTGTGGCGGTTAAACAAAGCATTTCTGTGGTAGCATCAATCGTCTGATCGATCACGAAAGAACTTGACTAAGGATATTGCGGTCTTCAGAAATATATTACGAATTATTTAAGCTTGATAACATCCGTAGCAGTGCCTCTGCGTTACAAAGTACTCTCTGTTCAAAATCTGCTTATCCGTGACGTCATACGGGAGGTCAAAGCTCACTATTAGAGTGTGCCATTCCCGAATATTTTCGTGTAATTTTCTAGGTCAAACCGCCCAGTTTGGTCCTTGCTTCCAAAACTAAGTTTGAGAAGTACTCTAGACAGGAAGGAGGGGGGTGGGGGGAGTATGGGACTGTGGGAGCAAGGAGAGGAGGGTTATTAATGAACCCTAAACATAACCCTATCGTTTCCGCCGTCAGTCTAACCGCATAACCACAGGCAATTTGTATTCTTCGGTTCATCAGTCACGCGGGAAAACAATTTATCTCACTCTTTGGTATATTTCTTTGCCGTCAAGCATAAACTACGACGTGAAATTTCCTAATCGGCGAGGTTTTTTATGGATGTACACAACTTGGATTCAACGTCAGGAGAATTCACCTTTTATTTGACAAATTAAACCAATAAAATAATCACCATGAACTTCGATAGAACATGATTTTCTAAGCGAAAATCCCGCTCCCAGGCGCCTGTCGGCGTTTTTGCTACCCCCGCCGTAAGAGTTGCTTTTAAAAGGCTCCACAATTAGCACAATATAGATTCCTAATCTTGACTAAGAGAACAAAGTTTAGCACTTAACAAAGAGAAAAAAAATACTGAAAGTAATGCTAGGGAGGCTTCATTTGAATGGATAAACAATAGGATTTCGTCACAGACGCAAACGCCACAGCTACATCGTATCCCTGCAAAATACACAATGGTCTGGTAGTGAAACAGTGCCGACCAGACCCTGCGTTAACTTGGGAAAAGGGGGATGGGTTCTCCGCCCTAAAAGGGGTATCTCGGTGCCTCAGCACTTCAGACCTGTGATCTAAGCTTAAGGGGAGTGGGTGGGGGTCCTTGGGCCCCTTCCCTAGATTCTCAGTTAAATAAAATATCCTTGCCTTGACATTTGTACTGATATTGATGTCGACATTACTACTGTACTATGCTGTTCTATTATTAATGTCGAATGACAATCTCTTATTACTGTTCTCCTTCATTTCTTGACGTATAAGTTAGGGGGATCTGTCCCTAGGAATTTCACTCAGTTGAAAATCAATGCGTTGATTCGCGTGATCTGTATGTTTGTTTGGCTCATTTATGAACACGAGGAAGATCTTTTATAAGAGCATTATTTTGGACTAAATACCAGAGCGAAGGGTCGGCTTAAATAACGTATTCGAAGCGCAATATAGATAATATTTTCAAGTGGATCACGTTTTTATTCGAGAGAACCCACTTAAAAAGGGTGTTAGTAGCCGGAAATGTCCCATTCTTTGAAAAATCTGTTTATCCACAAAAGTGGTGTACCTATACCTGGCCTTGCTACTCATGTCTCCATAGCAACCGCCAAGTTAGCATCTCACCTTGGCTCAGATCAACAATGGCGGTAAGCAGTAAAAAAATCATTCTGTTGCTGTCACTTCTGTAAAAAAGGGCCGGCCAGATCAAATAAACGATAAAAATCTACCTGGCGACATATTGAAGTGTTTGTACTAGTTTAGATCAGTTTTCTCTTTGCTTGCCTGTGCGTGTGTGTGAAATACAGCGACACTAAGGATAAGTCCACGTGAGTTACCGTGCAGTATGCGCGACTTGCCGCGTGAGCTCTTGAGAGATTCTTATTTACTTTCTATACTGTCACACTTTCATATCATATTTTAAAAAAACCGTCTGTTTGCCACCTGTACTACATTCAAAGGTGGTGAATTGATCGGAAAGGTTTCTATGTAGATAGATCGTGCGCGACGGCATGTTCCGAAGATCAATAAGGTTTGAATAGTTACAAGGAAAGTCAGCTGAAACGGCTCTCGTGACAAAACCCTGCTCCTTCAGCTGCGCTCTAGTAAGACATGTGATAAGTCATGCACGAGTTGAAATTGAGAAACGTAAAGCTTTTTTGTCTCTGCTTCTAAGGGTGCTTATAAAAATTTGAAATAGCTTAAAATGGTGCTAAAAGAATGCCGGTTTTCTGGGATTGTGAATTAATTTGAAAGTTAAGTGTGATGGACAAGGTGACTCCAGTCGGCCATAAGACTGCCGGTAAACCGGTGGGGATGTTTTAGTACGACAATTCTTTAGCCTGTCCCCTACTCCATTGAGCAATTCTTTGGCTCGGTCCAGGCTTCCTCTGTTTATTATTGGGCTGCACGTGAGGGCAATGCCCAATCAAATAATGTAGGCCGCGTCGTCTGTGCAAAATGGCGGACGAAACTCCCAGAAGGCTTTGCGTAAACCATTTCCTTTCAGTGGGGCCGATTTTTTGGGGAGGGGATGGGTCATTTCAGGTTGTCTGGCGAACAGATTTGGAAGTTGATTTGAACGAACACAAAATTATTGCGTGGAGTTTTTGGCCCTATGTCTACGCCGAATGACTATCTAAATACAGTATTCGATGACGTCGTTAGCCTGTGCGAGAGCTGCAGAAACAGCGCCCTCCTACGGCCCCACGGGAAAAGCTTTAACTTGTTGCAGTTCTCTCCCTGCGCGTGAAAAGTATTTCCTTACAAGAAAGGAACTGATTCTATTTGTAGATCGCTTTAAATGCAATAACTACCAGAAATAAAAATGAAACTTTAGTTTGATTTGCGATTTTTGAGAACAGAAATTCAGCCTAACTGTTAAAAAAAATATTCAAAACACCAACATTGACCTTATCCTATTTAAAAAGCGTAGAACGGCAGTACTTTTTTGAATTTCCGGTTAGATCAGATTAGTCACGTTAGTAATGTCATTCTATATTTTTGTCGGCAGAGAGATGGGAGTGAGTTAATGTCCCTGTTAAAAATAATTTCAGTCGTTTGTTGCTTCAAAAGGCTCTCTCTAGGTTTGAAGTAGCAATACACTACAGCTGGTAAAAAGTGTAATTATAATCTGTACTACGCAAACTAATAAACCACTGCATTACACAGTCGGTATCCCAATATAACCCCTTATACATGGTCTTGTAATCTCTTTGCTATCCAACATTCTCCCGCTCCGTATGATAAACAACTTTCATTTGATTCGTCACAATTTCCGGTTTCGGTCAGATTAATTTCTTAACACTTTAAGCCCCAATATCCACATACAAATTCTCCAAACTGATCACTATATATTTTCTTGATGCATCAGTTGAGAGAATTTCATAAAAGATCGAGGCTTTTTTTCTTGATCATTTTGTTAATTCTCATAACTTTTTCTCTTGATAATGTATGGATATCATTAGGAGAAAATTGATGCTGGTCACCATTGGGACTTAAAGGATTAAAACGTTATACATAACGTTCGTTTGAATGGCCACATCTTTTTGAATGGTACCGCACGAATGAAGCTTTTCTGTATAGAAACTGCGGTTAAATACGAGTTGCGAAAGTAAAAAGTGAGAACAGAATCCTTTTAGACCGTGCTGCTTTTCGTAGAGACTTTTGCTCCTGGGCCATCTTAGTTTGATTTGTGATGCAGTTACTAGAAATCCAGCCAGTACGCTGAATCACTGAAATAACCAAACTATTTGAGTTACCTGTATGAGATTGATGCCTGACTTTGCATCTCTTGCTTTTGAAGAATACACCCAATTAGGAGGCCTGAAGGCTTGGGTTAACTGTGAACTGCACGGCAACTCCACCGAAGGCCACAGAAGTTGCGTCCTCCTCCACACAGTACAAAATACCAACACTCCATCGACCATGCCCTTCATAAAAAAAGTTCAATACCTATGAGCTTTCCTTCTAAGGAAAAGTATCCTCCGATGAGAGTTAAGGGTCCTGAAGGAAGCGGGTGGGGATTTTAATCCAATTTCCCAGTGTCAATTTTTCAACCTCGTCCCCCGGGCGTTTCCCTGAGAAATGGCGGTGTGGGGTGGGCGGGGGGTGGGAGGGCGGGGAGGGACGCTCCTCCCCTTTTCTTAGGGAAGCGCTGGGGACAAGGTTGACAATTTTTTCCACACTTTATTTCCTAGTGTCAAAATCCCAATTTAGAGAAATTTTCAGTGATGCACACATCAGCTCTGTTCTCTAATGTGACTCATAATGCAACAGTTTTCTACATTTTTTTTGAGCAGTTTTATTTTAATCTTTTCGCTTTAGTTTTAGCTTAAAGCATCATGAATCAGAAACAAGATCTTTAAAACCCGTTATTTCGCTGTCGAATTGTGACACCGTGTTTAAGTATAACCTTTTATGACCAGCGTAAGAGCAAACTTGTGGGACACGAGAGAGAGGGTATGGGGAAGGGATGCTTAAAGGAACTATGTTAACCCTTTAAGTCCCAATACTGACCAACATCAATTTTCTCCTAACAATATCCATACATTTTCAAGAGATAAGGTTATGAAAATTAATAAAATGATCACCAAAGAGGAATGCCTTGATCTATTATCAAATTCTCTCCACTACTTCTTAAAGGAAAAGGGAGATTAGCTTGCAGAATTTGTATGTGGATATTAAGGCTTAAAGGGTTAAGTCTGGTTAAGTCATAACTTACTGTCTTTACCCATACAAAAAATACTCCTGGGCTGAGTTGTTCAAAGCCGGGTTAAGATAACCCATGGTTAGTGCGTGATTTGAATTCAGATTTGAAAGCTTAAAAACAATTTCAGTTTTAATTCTTTTTGTCTACAAGTTGATGATTGAAAGATCTAAATATAAGAGAGAAAATTATCCTAGAAAATGGTTTTGAACACAAGAAAGAGAAACCCGGGTTAAGCACTGATCAGCCTTCGAACAACTGGGCCCTTATGACGAGAGAGAGAGAGAGCCCCAGGGGGGTTACTCAGGATTTCAATTGATGGGGATGATCGAAGGATTTTTTTGGGTTTGAAATTTTCGATTCCGGGATTTTTTTGGGTACGAAAATTTGGCAAGTATTTTTTTGGGTAGCTTGATTTGAGTAGGGATTTTTTGGGGGTATTAAAAACAATCGGTAGTGCCCTGGCTGCGTAGTTATAGCATTACCCCTTTCTGGAACTTTTAAGGGCCACAAAATTGGCATGGGATCTTTTGGGGGTTTATTTTTGGTCCAGGGATTTTTTTGGGTTTTTTGGAAGCCCTAGGGATTTTTTTGGGTCTTGACTTTTGGCTCCACTCGATC